CTGAGGAAGGCATGTTTAGCTTTTATAGCCCTTAGAGTGAAGGCGGGCAGGGGAGAGGAGGCAGAAGGGGTTGGGTAACAGTAACCCCTACTTAGCTATGATGTGAGCGAGTAGAGGTAATGGACAAAGCATGGGCTTTTGGCTCCAGATAACCTAGTTTTCACCCTGCTTCAAATCCTTAGTCATACAGTGTCAAGACCCAGTTGAATGAATCTCTCAGTGTCATGTCCGTATCTGTGAACCAGAGTAATGGCTTGTTCGGAGGTGTGAGGGGTACGTGAGATAGCACATGGAAAGCACCGGGCACAGAGTGGGTACTAGAGGAGTTATATCTTCCTCCCTTTAATGTGCCTTCAAGGTGTATTGAGCCCATACTTCTGTAACAAGCTCTAGGATGGGTGCTGGGTAGTGAGATCCAGGCCCAAAGGCCTCTTCTCTTACAGGCACCAGATCTCACAAGACAGGCATCAAATAGGCATTTAGGTTGAACCATATGCAACTGCCACTTTTTTAATCCTGAAAAAGGAGTCTCAGATATAAATTTCTGTGGTTCAATGTCATAATCACAATGATATATGAGGGATGTTCTGAAAGAACATAGAACAAGAAGCCCTTATCTAGTCCTCAGGGCAAAGGCCTCCCTAAAAGTGATGTCTGAAGCATGAGCAGGAGTTGGCTGGACAAGGGAGGAGTCAGATGAGGAAATAAAGAGATTTCCTTTTTGGAAAACAAACTATAGGCTGTATAAAAGAAGGAGCTGCCTTGTCTTTCATAGTTGCAGTGCTGAGCCCTCCTTATTAGGAGTGATGGACAGCTAGCTTAATGGGATTTCCATTCTAAGAGTTACTCATTAGGCCAAAGGGACACATTTCTGATGGTGGAATTTCAGTGGAGGACTCGAAGGCCCCTTAAAATAAGGGGCGATGGGCATTTAAACTGACTGAGGTCGGCACCGCTAACATTAGGATGGGGAATTTTTCACATTCCAAAGGATGCTTAACACAGGGAGGTGTTTTCTTTCAACAGGGCAATGCCTTCCAGGGCCCTCGGAAAGCAGACATTGCGGCGAGACAGAAGGTCACTGAACTGATCCAAGTCCAGGCAGAAAGGATTTTGGCCTTAAAGGAAGAGATTTCTCTTTTGCGTAAGAAAGGTGGTCCTATTCTCCCTCCCATTCAGCCTCCACGACAGGAGATGAAGCCCATGGACTTTTAAGTATGCTTTTTTCTCAAATCCATCCCAGATTTCTGACATACAGCTTACCAGAGAAGTTCTTTGCTGCCTGCAGTAATCCTATTATCTTAAAGTGAACTTATCTAAAAGTCTAAGACCAGAGCCAGTCATATAGTATTGACGATTTTTCTCCAAGTTGGTTAGCTTAGACCAGAAGACAGCACCAACATCTATTTCCCACGGGACCGAACCATTTTAGATGTTTGGAAACTACTGGATTGAATATGGAGTCTCAGAGAAGGCTGTATCTCAGCATCTGCGATATAGCATGTTTTGGGAAATTTGTTTGGTTCTCTGAATTTTTAGCCATCAGCAGGGAAAAACTAGCAATTTGCGAGAAAATATGCTTTTTTCAATCGTTGGAAAATAAACTCTGTTGTTAAGTATTCTCTGCGAGGATGAAAAAAAAGCACAAACTATTCAGCCAACAGTATCTTAGCATAAGAAATGCAAATTAGGATTCTGACCTTGTTAACTTCACAGAGCAGTTATTTGGGAGCTCAGGATGCAGGAAATGCAGACAGACAGAACAGATCGCTCTGGATTGGCAGGAAGCAGGAGACTGCCTGGCTTCCTGAATCACCCCTCGTGTCAGCAAACTCCTCAGCTCTGAATGGAGCAGAGGAGTGTGTTTTGCAAAATGGCCAACAAGGAGGCTTTTCTCTGTAGATGTCTGCAGCTCTAACAGTATTCTAAGTATTCCCGTAGCTTCTCAAGTCCTGCGCCATTTTTGTTATTTCTGATGTAGATGCAGAAGTAAGGAATGATCACATCACTCTGAGAGATCATCTCTAACCATGGCTTTTGATTCTGCATAATGTTCTGAACTAATTTGAGAGTGTCCTTTTCCGTCCGGGGGGTAAGTGGTCATGGCCGTAACCCATCTAAGAATGATGTGATATTTGGATTCCTATTAGGAAGAGAACATAGCACTTTAGATCCAGTGCTCTGTGGATCCATATTAATGAGCTACCCCATTGAGCTGTCCCAGAATAGAAGTTGGTCCCTGAGAAGGAACGGTGAGGAAAGCAATACTGCATCAATGTAGATGGTCACTCAGCAATGTCAAGTCTTCCTAACCTGTGACTAGCCTGATCTATACTCCAAATTAGTTAGGACTTGTTTCCTTTCAAAGATTCTTTCATGTTCCTATTTAAGAGATGCGAATAGTCTGTGCCTGTTGTCTTTGGTGTAGTAGCTCAACTACTGGAGAGCACCCTCCATCACTTTCTCTGCTGTATGCCCTAAACGATGTGTGCCTTTCAAGCATTTAAAAAAATGTGCTACTCATAACTCTGAGGGTTTTACCTGTTTACTGCCGCATGAAAAGTTCTCCCCCAGACATTGCTTAAAACTACTCATCTCACTTGGTTTCTGAGGGCCAGGAATTTGGGAGTCACTGAGTGGCCTGTTTTGAGCCCAGAGTCCCTCACGAGGTTACCGTCAAACTGTGAGCTGGGGCCGCAGCCATCTGAAGCTTGGCTAGGGCGGCAAGGGCTGCTTCCAGCCTCACTCGCTTGGCTGTCCGGCCGCAGGCTTCCGCTCCTCGTTGGCCTCCACAATGAACAACTGCCTGGATAAAGTGGTTGGTCTCCGAGGAGACGCCATCCCCTAGGAGGCAGTGAGGGCCAGGGGAAGTTACGTAATTTCCTGGGCCTCATTTTATTATCCAACAAATGAAGGATTTGGAGAAGTTCTCTTTCCTGTTCTGAAATTCTGTGACTCTAATTGCAGCAAGAATGACTTTAGAATCCGTGGGAGAGCCGTGGCAAACAGTCCATGACTTTTTCAATTCCGTATAAACCAATCAGGGTTGTTACTGTTTTTCCCAAATCAAACTGGACTAAACCATCATTTAACTCCACAAAATTCAGGCCTTCATCCAATAGGCAATATAGTTAACACTCAGTTGTTTTTATGAAGTGGACAAGATCTATAGCTAGCTTTAGTTTCATTTCTACTTGACTCCAGACTTAGTCTTGAATCTGTAATAACATATAGCATCGGAGTCGGGAAATTCAGCTTTGGTGGGGGAGAGGAACTTTCCATGTACTCCTGCTTCCTGATCAAACTGTTCTCTACATCTGCGTGTGTCTCAGAAAAGGCTGCCTTATCTCTGAGAGGCCAAAATTCATCTACATTGAGTTACCTGTGGGTCAACTGCTAATGTAACTTGGCTATTTTGAACCTTCGTCCATAGTATCATCATAAACCAAAGCTGGAAGAAAAAGCTGTAGAGTGCGGTCTGTCCATCACTGTTACTCACTGCTTGCCCAGTCCAGCTATCAGGTCACGGAGGACGGCTGTGCCCAGAGAGGCCTGCGCGCCCCGAGTGGGGCTCTGTACCCCTAACCAGCGCCTGCCTTCTAGGTCTTACTCCTCCTTTGGTAAATTAGACAGCCTTTGCAGGCCGAATCAGACTTTTTAAAGGCACTATAATAATTAACCTGAATCTAAAGGAATAGAAAATACAATGAAATTGAATATTTCGCTACTTCATTTTCTAGGCTAAAATTTAGAGACCTCAATGGCCTTTCCTTTTTTCCTGCAGCTGGCTCAGGTAAACACACATATTTATCTCATTTAATGTGCCTTGGAAGTGCTTTTTCTTTCCTAGAATTTTTTTTCGAGAGCTAAAATCATTCAGTATTGTTATGGTTCCAGGGCTGTATAGAAAGTAATTTTACGTATCCCTTCCATAAAGTTCATGAAAACTCACTTTGACAGCTACTTGGGATCATCAAGGAGAGGGGAAAAAAACTTAAGCCAATAGGCTAGGAGGTGAGTTACAGCTTGGACCTGAGAGGCCCTGGGCTACCTGAGTAAAGATGGAGAGCCTTGGCTCTCTCCCCCTCCTGGAAGTGACCTCTATGTCCTCAGTGCAAGGTTGTGGCTCAAGTTACATCCTCCTCCTCCTATCATTTCCATGTTCCTTACAGGCCTTCATTTGATTTCTTAAAATATTTTTAAAATACAGCTTTTCTGAAGATCACGATGCCTCTCGATGAGAGCTCTTTATCCAATTTAGTTGTTGGAAAAAGCGTGCAGGAAGCGAAGCGCAGGCGCGGTATTTCTCCCGGCCAGTAGAGGGTGCACTTGTCCTAGAAGCTTGTTTCTCCCGCTGGTGTCTACTGGAGGGAGGGGAGTCTGGCTCTGGGACCCTTAACCAGCATTTCATCTGTAACCCACCTTTACTGAAACCTAGAACATACTTTCCCCTCACAAGAACTATCTGAATGCTAGCGCTTTCACTGCAAAGCTTCAGCCTCCAGCTGGTGCCAGTTGCACGTATCGAGGTTGATCCCGAGAGTAAATGTTGATTTTAAACGGCCAGGGAGTCAACTCCTCTGGCAGCGTTGGTCTATTGTAGGAATGATGGGAAGTGGATTTTACCGGGCACCACGTGTGCACGTGCAGCCTAGCACTTTAACTAAAGGGTATTTGGGAGAAAGTACTTGGTCTTCCACACATATCTATAGAGAACAGAGAAGTTTCATTCCTTTGATGAGACCAAAGCGTTCCCTGAGTCCAGCCAGTAAGAGACTGCGAACCTGCTTCCCCTTGCCTCCTTCACACGATCTCCCTCCTGGACTAAACAGTTACTGCCACAGTACTTAAAAAGGCAGAAAAATTAAACATCTACCTTTTCCAGATCTCAGCTCTTGACGGAGCTAAAAAGGTCACAAGTGGAGGTTTTCTTCAAATATTCAAAAAGTGGATCCTAACGTTTAAAGAAGATGCTGACTCACAGGTGACTAGGCCGAAGGTTACAGGGAAGACTAAACATGTATTTAGAAGTTACAGTGTTTGTTTTTACAGAGATATGCTGCCACAGAGTATTGATTCTGGAAGGTTTGTTAATGCTTATAGGACTATACACATCTCAGTCTATTCTCGTGGGCATCTTCTGAAAACGCTGCCTGTAGTACCAGGTCCACTGGTCTTCATGAGTGTCTTGGCCTGTGACACCGTGGCCCTTGCTCTTCCCTCATCGTCATTGTGAACAGCGCCCGAGATTCTTCCTTTCACAAGCTTTTCTGGGGGCCTTGTGCAGCCTCCTGGGTGGTGACAGAGGTGGCAGGCCTGCCTTCTCAGTCTGTGAGACTCTTTCCCAGTTGAATCCTGTATTGTGGCTTCTTTGATTCCCTTCTCATACCTCAATGGGGAGGATTCCCTACGTCTCTCCAGAATTATAAAAACACATATACATTTATTTACAGATGCATAAATATATAAATATGGCTATTATAGAAAAATAAATACCAATTTTCTGTCTCTTTTTAAAAACAATATATATAGTCTTTCTGGGATATTGGTTTCTGTCTAAATTGTAGGAGGTGGTGTTTCAAAAGATACATGCAGCGGTGGGCTGGGGGAGAGCCGTATCCCAAGCTCCTGCCCTGGGTAGGTGCCTGTGGGGTGCTGGGGACACCAGTCTCCTCCACCCACTTGGCAGGAGTTAGGACTGTCCACCTCTTCAACTGGGACAAGGCCCAAGCAGCACGGGGGCCCTGGGGGAAGAGAAAAGAGGGAAACATTAAAATCCAGAGCTCAGTGCTACTGGGTCAGTCTCTCTCTGTGATGGCAGTTGGTTAGACAAGCCCTAAAAGAGAGACAGAAACATACAGCCATGACGACACTGATGCTCCCTTTAAGGCCTCAGAGACACGGGGTGGGCCACTTGTCACCCGTGTCCCACCTACACATTTCAGTGGTGGAGCCACAGGGGCTCCCAGCCACTTAGCCTGTACCCTGGGGCAGATGAAGTCAGCTAAGCCTTGAAACGTGGAAGAAAGAAAGCCCTGTTCTTTCCACATGAAGCAGCTAGTCTACCTGTCTGGTAGGATTTCTGGGCATAATCACACCCTAGTGGGGGTGTCCAGTTTTGATGATGTTGGGGTCTAGCTCCAGGAGGTACTGGTCTTAGAATTTTATCTCGCAGAGACAGGGTCTAGGACCTGTGTGCGAACGGACCGTTTGTGCTATGGGAGCTAAGAGGCGTTAGCCGACGGTCTGGACCAGCCTGCGCTGACCCCCAAGAGCCTGGTACAAGGGAAGATGGTGGGACCGGCGGTGCGCACGGAGGCTCGCGGAGAAAAAGTTCTGTGGAAGCACAGCATTAGGATGATGTGAGAACTCCGCTCTTTAACGACTGATACAATCTCATTCCTTCATTAAGAGACAAGACCCAACAGAGCAAGGTAATGAGAGAATGCCTCTTGGTGTGAGGAGAGGCAGAAGGAATTTTTGAACGGTCTTGAAATGCCAAGACCAAAAGGGCTTCTTTCCTTGAAATGGAGACGTGTCCTCTCCTGGGCCTTTGAGGGCACAGCTTGCCAAGCTGGACGTGGACCCAGCTGGTTCACCCGTGTCGATCTGCGGGACCGTGTCTGTCACTCCCAGTCTCTCCCACAGGAAAACCGTGGATGACTCTTCATGCCACCTCTCTAGGCCACTGCTGGGTTGTGGACGCCTGCCTCATGCCATCCCCAACCCCTTCGATTTCCTGCCCTGGCACCAACCTTGGTGAAAAAGAGGGTCCCAGGTGGCTTCCAGCCTAGGACCCTGGGGTCCATTCCTCATGCATGACTGGCCCGTGGGGGCAGGCTGCTCCTGGAGGTGGTGACGGTCTTGGTGGGGCTGGAGCAGCTGGTGAGTGGAGCCCTCAGGCAGTGTATACAAAAAAGAGTCATCCTCCGTGCTAGACTTGGGAACCCTGCAAGCACGAGACCAGACACAGAGGTGAGGTGTGGGCAGAGCGGGCCTGCGTCCCCAGGGCATGGCTGCTGCCTTGAGGGCATCAGAGCTGGTCAGGGCTCAGCTGGGGCAGGGACTACTCCCCTTTGAACATTAAGAGGTGTCATAGCACCACTTCTCTGGGTCATTCTAGTCTATTTCCATTTTATTCCTGCACGTTCTGAGTGTATAAGAGGATGGGCAGTCAGATGTCCAGAGGCGTGGGGACAGAGCCAACTCCATGTGGCAGCTCTGGCCTGCCAAGGGAGGGACAGATTTCTGGGAGGCCCACCTATGCCTCGAAGCAGAAAGGGCATTATAACTGCAAACTCCACCGAGGAGAAGGGTCCAGCTAAGCAGGTTGTCAGATGTGGGTCCCCTGTCTCCTCTCCGTGACTGAGGCTGGGTTTGAGGGGAAGGCGGGGGTGGCGGGGGCTCAGTTACCTAGGCTTCTGGTGGCCAGGTGGGTCATATCCAGTTCCAAGAACGGTCTGCTTTAGCAGGCTGCTGGGGTCATCCTGCTGCTCAAAAGATTGAGTAACGAAAAGGTCACATCATAGTCTGAATGACTTTCCTGTTCAGTGTTCAACAGAATGAGCTGCTCCTGACTAGAAGCCAGACACAGCAGCCCAGGGTTAAAGACTAGGAGGGAGGGAGCCAGGAGGCAGCCCCCCCTGCTCCCCCATCCCAGCCCCCACCTATTTGCCCACATTCCCAGGACCACGTTACCTGCCGAAGCGCCCCTGGGCAGGGCTGCGGAGGCTTCAGGCCTGGGTGGCCCATGGCAGCTGCAGGGAAGCCCCTGTTCATGTGGATCCCACTGGCACAGGCACGTCCACCGGTGCCACTGAGGTAGGGCTGCCCACCGGCTCGGTGGCTTGCGAGTCCTCCCAGTGGTACCATAGTGTATTGGCAGGAGGTGGACAGAAGGGCACTTCGAGGAAAACCCAGGTCTGTGGTATGTTCTGGAAGGACAGAAGGACAGAAGTACGCTTAGGCCAAGGGGGCCCAAGGCAGCCTCTGATACCACTGAAATCTCAGGAAATTTCTGATCAGAGGGATGAAAATATTCTCTCTCAGAACACTCTTCCAGTCACCCACTTCGCTAACATCTAGATTCTTTTCTTCGGTGGGGAGAAAGGTGAGGAGTGAGAAGGGCACAGGTTAGGAGAAGGACACAGTGAGTGAACAGAAGGAGCAATATTTCAGTCAGACAAACTGGCCAGATGTGTTGTCACTTGAAGCAGAAATCAGTGAGCACAAGGACAAGAGGGAAAGCCCAAGGGGTCTACAGACACAGAGAGGGGGCAGCGAAGGGGTGGGGTCCGTTTTCAACATGAGCATGTGGTCAGAACAGCAGCTTCAGAATTTACAAGGAGTTGGAGCCAGACCAGCACTGAGGTCCAGAGATGAGGAGAGGACAGAACACTTGCCACTTCCTACGTTCCACCCGCCAGGGTCCACGAGCCGGGAGGAAAGGGCCCAGGCTTGGTGTACTCTGATCTCTCCGAGCTCTGCGGGGGGCCTGGAGCTTACGCTCTAGTGCACGTGAAGCAGGGCACCTGCAATCCTGCCTGGGGTGGAGGCCTCCTCTGCCTCTGGGAGCACGCCCCCTTCCCTCCTCCCCTCCTCCCCAGGCTCCTTCCCCTTAGTGCTGGGGGGTCACTCACTCTGCTTAGACCAGGCCCTCCACAAACAGAAGGGGATGAAGGCGACGATGATGAGGACGATAGAGCCCAGGACGACCCCAACAATCAGGTAGGGCAGGTCGCTGGAGCGTGCCACCATGGCCCCGGTGCCCACCGGCCGTTCTATGGTCTCAGGGGGTGGCAGCTGAGGTGGGGCCAGAGTCAGGGGTGGGAGCCGACCAGGGTGACCAGAAGACTTCCGGGCTGTAATTGTGGATAAGACTCACTTCAGCTTCGATTCCTTGACATTTCTCTCACAGCAAACAGGAAACACCACCAACAAACCTGATTCCATGGGTGTGGGAAATGGGGTCAAACACACAAGGCAGGGCCTCAGACTCTATTAGATGAGTGTGGTCTCCAAGCTCAGCACGAAACTGGCCTCTGATGGGAAATTTGGTGCTGCAGGACGGTACTGGGAACGGAAGATCTCACCTGGCAGATTAAGGGATGCACGGGCCTAGGTCTGAGCCTGGGCCTAGAGCAGGGAGATGCATGCAGGTGGTGAGACTCTCCAGCACAGACGGTAACTGGGCAACACCAACTCAACAAGATGGTGACTCCTCCCCGGGTTGTGCTACTGTCAGGGTGTGCCTGACCTTGATCACTCCCTTCCAGAGAGGCTTCCCCCAGGCCTCTCCCACAGCACATCGGTGATTTCCTGCTACCTCTCCGAAGGCTGCTGCTTATGTTTTTCTGTCTTCTCCTTAGAGCCAGGAGGCTCTCTAATCCCTCCCAGGCTACGCACCCTGTGCTCTGTTCTGTTCCTGTGACTTTAACCTGTGTCCCAATGACTGCCAAGTACCCGTGCCCAGGGCCCTCCCCTGCTGGGAGGCCTGCTGCTGCTCTCTGGGCATCTCGGAAGAATCCACTGCAGGGAGTCACCGAGTGCTTCCGCCGGTTCCTTCCTGTCTCGTGGGCTCTGCTGCTCTTCTGGCTTCCCCAGTTCAATAAATGGCACCATCACCCATGTGTACGTTATGCCGGACACCTCATGGTTCGCTTTGAACGAGGTGTTCAGCCCTGACATGCTAGCAATCCCTGGTGCCACCTGTACATGGCCTCAAAAGAGACTCAAATTTGGGGTGGCTGGGAAGCTCAGTCAAACACCTGACTCTTGATAACAGCTCCATTCATGATCTCAAGGCTCATGAGTTTGAGCCCCACATCGAACTCGTGGGATCCTCTGTCTCTCTCTCAAAATAAATATATAAACTTAAAAAAATTAAAGACTCAGACTGTCCCTTCTCTGTACCTGTACTTCTCAGCTCTCTCCTGTCAGCCCATCACAGGTGTCCCGTCAGACACCTGTGAGCTTTCTCGACCTCACAGCCACAGAATTCTCGGTGACCCAGTGCCCACTGCCATCCCTGGCCACTCCCTGGGCATTCTCTCTCTCTCTCTTTCATCCTCCTTCCCACACCCTTCAACCACCTGGCCCTCCGGACCAGAGCGAAGCCTTTGTGGAGCCTCTGCTCTTTGTCCTGGGCACTGTGTGGGAGGCCCCTGATACATGCACAGCCAAAAGTCCTGGATTTACCCCTCTCTTCACTGTGTGCGACAAAAGAGGTTAGGGAGTGCACACAGGAGGTGCTGGGTATTTGCTGAATAAGTGAAAGGGTGCAAAGCTAGAAAGAAAATGTTACCCATGCAAGGAAAATGGGTTCTTTTTTCCTCTCCATTCCCGTTCCTTTGTGATCCTCTCCTGAGGGTCTTCTTTACAATACACTCAGGTTATACACTTGCAGTGTTTGCAAAATGGAGATGGAGATATCTATACACTTGACCGGTGTGCAAATATTAACAAACTTTTACGTGAAGATGTTTAACATGCTTTAGTGCAGAGAAAGAATCTGGGCTTGTAGTTAAACTTGACCCAGAGTGTGCTCTACACCCCTAACTGGCTAAAGGACCTTGGTTAAGATACATCATTCCCTGATGCTCAGTTTCTTCCCTAACACATGGGGTTGTAATTAAAATAAGTAAACCAAGCAATATAAGTGCCAAATTTTATAGTAATATAGTGTTTATACAAAGTTCTAACTTAAGAATGGGTTCTATTCCATGAGTTCATGGATGAGTTAATTCCCAAGTTCCCTGAAGCCACCACGAAGACAACCTAATTCATACTTGGGGCACAGGCAAATGAAGAGAAGGGTTAAAAGTGACAAAGTTTAGGGGTACTTGGACAATGAAGAGTCTTCATGGGGAAGAGATGCCAGCATACCACGTGGAACGGTGACTTTGTCCTGGGGGGCTGAAAATAGCAAGAGGAGGGTAGAGAGCCTAAAGAGACTCACCTTTGGTTTCACAGATCATCACGTTGCTGAACTCACTCTCCCCTCCTTCGTTGAAGCACTGCATCTTAATGTCATAGGAGGTCTCTGGCTGCAGGTGGCTGATGGAATGCCAGTATCTATCCCCTGGGAAAGACAGCAAGAGAGTCAGTCACACACGGTGACATGTACCACCTGGTCTGCTTGGAAGCAGTCACAGTCAGGCTTGGACAGGGGCGTGTGTCTGGGCTGGTGTCATGAACAGGGTGGAGGAGTACTGTTGGAATTTTTTTTAGGTGCCACTCAAGTTCCTGTGGTCCCATCACCATGGAAAGGAAGCATCTGGATTTATGAACTTGACCCCACGTGGTGCAGGAGTCAATGATATGGACACAGATGTTCTGTGTCACACCAGCCCAAGTTTTAAACTTTCATCAATAGCCACCCTTGCCCACAGAGAAAACCACATCCCCCAGAGTGCTTACCTTCCACCATATCCTTCTTGTAGTCACTGTCATTGTCACTGTCTGTGGGTCGATAATAGATATAAAATCCATGGATTGGGGTGTTGTTGTTACTTGCTGGAATATACTACAGGGAAGGGAGAAGAAACAGGTTTGACAAGGGATCAGAGAAGTCATCATGGGAGCAGAGGCTGGTGGACAGAACTTTTACCCCAGCCTGGAGTTTCAAAATTCACTGAAGGAGCCTGGCAAATACTTCTGATGATACTCCCCAAGGCTTTCTGGGGAATGTTGTGAAGGCCACTTGTTATTTAGCCTGAAGGTCCTCCAGCTTCTGGAGACAAGGAACAGACATTTCTCCAAAGGTCTGAGCCCCCTCTGAACCTGTCTGGTACTGTGAGGATGAGTCACTCTGGCTCAGTTCCCAGGTACACGGGGGTTGGGGGGGGGGTGCCCACTCAAGGGGAAGGCCTTAGAAGAAGGGCAGAACAGAAAGGGGATTCCTTCCTGCCCTGGCTTCAGCAACCAGCTCTCGTAGTCCTGAGGCTTGGCCCCATTTCCCCTCTGCAGTCCATGCAAGGTCACTTACCATCCACTTGAGCATGATGGTGGTCTCGTTGACGGCATCGGTGAAGGTGATGTAAGGGCCTGCCACAGGCCTCTCGTACACGCGGCCACTATAGCTTGATACCACGTACGGCCGGGAAGGGGCGCTGGGCTCGCTCTCCCCCAGCATGTTCAGAGCCCTGACACGAAACTTGTAGGAGGTGCCTGACGAGAGAGGCTCACTTGAACCCAGGAGCCGGGAGACACTTCTGACCCACCCACCCCAGCACACCCAGAGCAGAGTCTTCCGGGTAGCCCCCAAATGCAAGTCCCTAAAGGACACAAGAACTCCCATCTTTTTCAGAAAGGAGCCCCAGAGGGGATAGTTAAGGACCTCTATGGAGAGATGGAGAAGGAAGGACTTGTAGGGCAAAGGGGACACCACCAAGAGCATCCAATGTGAGCAAGATGGCGGGTGGAGGACCAGCAGAGAGCAGAGCCTCCAAAGCTCTGACTGTCCTCTGAGCAGTGGGCAACAACTAGTGGACCTGGGGGGACAGCAGCCAGACCCCCTACCTTTCTCTAGGCCAGTGATCTCCACCGAGAGCCGGGAAGGAGGGATGGCGCTGGTGGCCAGAATCCAGTCCCCCACTTTCTTCAGCTTCTTGTACTCCACACGGAAGGACTGGATCGGGAAGCCGCCATTCCCACGGGGAATCCAAGTCACATACACTGACGTCTCCGAGGCCATGGAGATAGTGGGCCTGTCAGGAGCTTCTGGGGCTGGAGGAAACCAGACATGACGGAGGAAGGAAGCAGGAGGAGGGACACGATGAGGCGGTGTACTGTGACTGGACTTGGCCAGATCCTGACTGGGGCCTATTTTTCCTCCTAGTCCGCCCCCTCGGTGGCTATATCAGATCTTCCAGGGCTACCTAGGTCACCCTCTCCCAGAAGAAGTCCTTGAAGCCATGCTATAAGCCGTGCTTCTGCACTGTCAGAGTGTGCGGCGGGCCCAGAGGCAGCCGCTCCCCCTTCTGTGCTCTCTGGACCCACAGGGCCAGCGCCCCCTCCCCACATCAGACTACGTTTTACTTGAAAAACTCCAATCTATGTTTTCTAGCGGGGTTGGCTGGGGAGATTCCAGGAAAATGTCACAAGCCTCCCGGACCTACGGAACAGGACCCCATTCCACCTGCAGCAAAGAGCCCTGTGAGGCAGTGGACCTGCTTCCGGTTCTGAGCGCAGGGTCCCTCCCACCCCTCTGAGCTGCTGGGCGCTTACGAGAGAGGCGGCCGTGGTCTGGCTGGCTGCTGCTCTGGGGGCTGGCTCCAGGGTCATCTCTCTGGATCTGCTGCTCCTTGCTGGCTATGATTTCAGGCTTGGGCCGCCGTCCTGGATGGAAGTGGGTGGAGACCAGCAAGTGGGAGTGTGTGGATTAGGTGACCTTTTCCAGATAGTTCTTTCTGCCTGAGACTTTGCTGGGGGGTGGGGATCTGACGGGGTGATGCAAATAACGTAGGACAATGTGGGTTGATTCCTAGCTCTGCCTGGCCATCACGGGGGGGGGGGGGGGGGGGGGGGGGGGGGGGGGTGGTGGTGTGTGTGTGTGTGTGTGTGTGTGTGTGCGCGCGCGCGCGCGTAGCCGGGCACAGAGACCAGCTGGTGGTTCTCCTCATGAGAGCCGGGCCCCTCAGCCTGGGCTCACAAACCAAGGGGAGGCAACAGGTAGAAGATAAAGTTCAACGTGACTGGCGGGGCAAGGTGAGCAGGACTTCCCACCTGAGCCTGGCAGGATTTGCGCAGGCCCTCAAACCCCCGAGCTGGCGGCAACGTCTGACCCTCACCAGTTCGGAAGGTGACCATGGCCATCTGGCCTTCGCCTGCACAGTTGTAAGCTGCCATCTCCACTTCATATAGGCTCCCAGGGTCGAGTCTGGTGAGGGTCAGGCGGTGCTGGTTGGCTGCAATGCTGGAGACGGTCCAGGTGTCAGAGGAGTTTGTGACCTGCTGGAGAAGGTAGCTGGTATCAGAACTTGCATCTCAGCCTGGAGCCACCGGTGGCTGTGGTTCACCTACAAAGCAGAATGGAGTCTAACAGGGTAGGAGGTGGGGAAGGAGAATGGGCTGGGATTGGGGAGGGGGGCTGCGCGGGGCGCACGCTGGTCCTGCCGGCTCTGGGACAGCCAGGTTGGCTCCCTGGTCCCTCAGCTGACCGGCCCATCAAAGAACACTCAGTGGGGACGGTCAAAAGGCCTGATGTTGCTGAGTTTCTCCAAAGGCGGCCTCTCTGTATTTCTGAAAACCTCCACATTTTTTTTTAAAGATTTTTTTTTAATGTTTTATTTATTTCTGAGAGAGAGAGAGAGAGAGAAAGAGAGAGAGAGAGAGACAGTGTGATCAGGGGAGGGTCAGAGAGAGAGGGAGACACAGAATCCGGAGCAGGCTCCAGGCTCTGAGCTGTCAGCCCAGAGCCCCATGTGGGGCTTGAACTCATGAACTGTGAGACCATGACCCGAGCCGAAGTTGGATACTCAACCGACTGAGCCACCCAGGTGCCCCCACATTTAACTTTCTTTCTCCTTGCTCTCTTTAAACCAAATAAACACAGTCTGTTCATACTATGGGATAATGATTATAATGATAAAAGCAGCAGTAGCACTGTCTGCGGAGTGTTCACTACGTGCCTATAAAGTGCTTTCAAGACAACAGCTCAAGGGCCAGGTGTTAGTTTTGTTCCCACTTTATGAAAGCTAAGGCTTGGAGAGCAGAGTAATTTGCTTAAAGCTGCATCACTAGCGAGCTCGGAGACTGTGACTTGACTCCAGAGAGCACATTCATAATCGTATGTAACTCATCCTAGGAAAAAAAAGAGTCTGGGAGCCAGAAAAGCTGGAGTTTCCCATTGTGTGAAACATTCTTACCAGCTGTGTGACCGTGAGCAAGTTCCCTAACCTCTCTGATCCCTAATCTTTTCATTTCCTTTTCCAAAAAAATTCCTAATCTTTTCATTTCTAAAATCAGGAAAATAAAAGCTCTCAGCTTATTCTGAAGATTAAACTAGATTTATATAAAGTGTCAAGCACTGAACGTGGCACACAGTAGGTTCCCAGCAAATGCCGGGCACACACACATCTTTAATGGCCCCACATTCCTAGCTCTTTAAAGAAAAAAATACAGGAGTCCAGGCTCCGTCCCCAACAGGCAATGCTGGGAGGCTGCCTCGTCTCACCTACCCCACGTCTCAGGACAAAAGGCTTAACTGCCAACTGTGCACATCTCACAGTCTGCTGGAAGCCAAAGCCGTGGTTTGCTGAAGAATTAAACAGCTGGTAGGAAAAGCTCTAATCCCCAAGCAGAATATTCCAAAGTAGAACAAAACCTACTATTCAAGGGACAGGGATGGTCTGGGCTCATTTATGTCAGACTTCCAGGATTTGTTCCAAGGGGAGAAGTTTTCACAAACAGAGAATGCTCAGTAGCACTGGAAACCCAAACACAGTAGCCCAGGGTCTAAAGATGCATCAGGGAATGGAACCAGCTTCCTGAACGTGAAAAAGTGAAAATGAGCGGAATGATTCCCAATCTCCTGCAAGAGAAGGGGGCTGTACACACAACCCAGACACCGATTTTTCACTTCGGGGTCCTGTCTTGCGTGATGATCTTTAAGACCTGTCAGTCCCTCAAGAAAGGAGCTGCTGCTTGCAAGACATCATTCCTGTTCGGCGGGGTCCACCTCGCAGCCCCAGGTGTCCCTCAGGCCGGAGCTTAACAGAAGCCAGAGCCCCCAGCAGGGGCACAGTCCTGTCCCTCTCCCTGCGTCCCCTTCTCCCTTGGCCCTCCCAGCGCTAGCCTCGAAACAAAAATAAGAACTCGAATGGTCATTAGTCACTGTCACACAAACACAGGCCTCAGCCTGGCATTTCCGGATCACCATGCACGGCCTTTGCCAGCCTGCCTCTTGGTGAGGCAGTCTCATGGCTGCCTATTGGCCTGAAAAATAAGATTCTGGTTCTCATTGCCGGTTCTGGTCTCCCAGGGACCTGAGCACGTGGCCTCTGCCCTGATCTCTGTCTACCACTCGGAGATGGATGTGTCCGGTTACACGGGGAAACAAGGATTCGGACCAGTCCTGCCCCATAACCTGGTCTGAACAAAGCTGCTTTTTGTTAAAAAAAAAAGTATTCACCCCCTTTGCTGGCTGTCTATGAAGAGGCCAGCGGGCCACGGGTTAGGGAGAAACAGCCCCCCCAAGCCCCACCTCGGAGGCGGTTTGGCCTCAGGTGTCTTCCCGATGGCCCAGTGTGTCTGTGGACTTGTCCTCCCCCGAGGTCATGAAGGGAAGGGACAGAATGAGGTTGCGGGCAGGGTCCAGGGCAGGGGAAGGGCTACTGTGTGGCCAGTGCTTCGCACCACAGGGGGCTCGGTGGGTTGGTTGTTTTTGGCGGGGGAGAAGAGTTGATAAATACTTTCAGTTCCACAATCACATATTTTCAATACTTTCCACTAAGTGCACATAGCCCCTTTATAAGCAAAAATACCATGAAGGTGTAATAAAATGCAGCATTTATGATACATCATCAAATGACACTTTTAAAAATCCATTTAAGAACAATAATCTTCTACTATCTAGTGGCTTTGTTGGGCGGGTGTGGGGGGCGGCAGCACACACCTGGGATGAACAGAAATGCTCTTCAAGGACATTTTCTTAAAGGAAATCGCATGTCCTTCTCCCCAGGGGATAACATGAGGTGAACGCACAGCCTCGAACGAGGGGGGCAGGCTGGGGGCTCTGTCCCGCCTCAAAGGACACTGTCCAAGAGCACGGCCTTGCTGGCTGTCCCACACCCTGCCAGGGCCTGGGGTTCCCCTCCCCCGACACCTCCTCAAACACCCACCTGGACAGGCTTCCTTCTGTCAAAGAGGAGTGGCTCAGGTCTGAACAACACGATGTGCTTTCAGCTCAAATGCCTGCTTGTCAGACCTGAGCCACGGCGAGTCCCAAAAACTGAGGGGGTATTTTATAGCCCTCAGAGAAAATACTCGTTCACAAATATTTGTTTCCCTGGCCTTCGAGCTGGCTTGCCCAGTCCCTGCAGGGCTGTACCCAGAGGAGCTGACTTTGGTTAAAAAACAAAACAACAACATCATCGACAACAAATGACAGAGGGAAGAGGGGAGGGCAGGTGACAGTTGCCAGGGAGACTGTTGACTCTCTTCAGGGAGGAGAAGTTGGTGGCGTGAGCTCCTGGGAAGCCAGGGCACAGAGAGCCCGGAGGAGCACACATGACTCTTTCCTGGGCCTCTGAGGGTCCCAAATGCCTCAACTCACAGCCAGCTTCCTGGGAGGTGGTAGGAAAGTTCAGTGGACGAAGGTCATGGTCAGCAGCACGGAGTGCGGGAACTCAAGGGGAGGTGGCCAGCAGGCAGGACCCCCCAGCCCGCCTCCCGGAGGGGAGGCCAGCACAACGCCAGGCACCATACCTTGCGGTGTTTCACCACGTAGTAGAGGACAGGAGCCCGGCTGCCACCCTCGTGCCGGGGCCGCCACACCAGCTCGTACGAGTCGGTCTTGGAGGTCCGCGGTGAGCTGAGGATGACGGGCGCATCGGCAGGAGCCACCTGCCCCTTCTCTACAGGGCACTGTGGGGAAGCTGGCTGCACGGACGTCGGGGGTTTGGGGAGCCCTGGGCGCCCCCTCGGCGTCTGGTCAGGGCCTCCAGGTCCGGAGGGTGGCACGGGAGCTGTGGCAGTGTCTGGCCTGGCATCCTGCCATGGCCGCGGGGTCGTGCCTGGAGGACCAGGAAGGAAAGAGGAGGGAGAGGATGTTGGTGCCCCGGTCACGTCGTGGGCTGGAAGCAGAGGGAAGCCAAAGGCTTCGCGCTGGGGCAGAAGAGCAGAGATGAGCACGGCACTCACTGCTGGGCCCTGTGGGAGGAGCGAGGGCTGTGCCGCTGCCCTGCCCGGAGACGCGCAGGCTGGGGCCTCGTACCCAGCTCGTGTGAGTGCTCTCTTCACGCCTGAGGAAGCTGCACCCTCCGTCTCATGCCTACACTGGGGCAAGGGACGAGTGTGTCCCTTCACCGCGGGGTCACAGCACCACGCACAGCCTGGGCCTTTCCCTACTCCACTGTAGCCGCCTGGAAGGTGAGAATGGGAAGCCACCTGTGAGTCCCCTCGGGGAACCTGAGAGTCCAGGACAGGCCACGCGTCCTTCAGGAAGCATCTGCAGAATGTGCCCACACTAGTTTCTCCCCTACCTGACCTCCTGGACCACAGACGGTTAGCATCTGATCATGCGGATTCAGCATTATTTGTCATCACAGTTTCCTCACATTATTTCCTTGGTAAGTTTTATCTCCTCGATGAGCAAGCTAGGTCTTTGTTATGTCTCTCTATCCCTCCCCATCCCCCACCCCCCTGGCCCCAACACCATTATCTAGTTCAAGGCTGATGAACTAGATAAGTAAAGTAAGTAACTGCTTGGTCAGGGTAGGTGTCAACTGAGGTGGATCAAGGTGAAAGGGACAGATTTGCTTTTCTTTACGCTAGAGCAATGGTTGTTAAGCTGGGTTCCATGGAACCCCAGCAACCCACAGATTAAAAGCACTTTTAAAAATACAACAGGAAGATCATATCCGCTAGTAAAAGTGTACACTTCTGACTTTTCAATAAATTAATGTGAACTTGCACTTTCCAACTAAAAGCCACTTTTATCTCGTTTATAATGCTGGGGTTCCAAGTGGGATTTCAATTGAGGAAAGGGTTCTGTGAACGTTCAGCTGAAACCTCCAGCCTTTCGGCCGACTCTCACCTGGCCTGGCGGTCCTCAGCTGGACCACGGCGTGGGCGCTCCCGACTTCATTCTCAGCCATGCACTGGTAGACACCTTCATCCTCAGGCCCCACGCTGACCACCCGCAGGGCCCTGCGGGACAGTCGGAGGCGCTGGCTGGAAGCCAGGGGCACGGCATTCCTCAGCCACAGCACAGATGGCGGGGGGTTCCCACGCACCTCACAGGTGAGCTTGGCGCTCTGGCCCCACGGGATGACCAGCTGGGACAGCTCCATGGTGACCTCAGGGGGCTCTGCCGGGAAACCAGAGCAGGGGTGACAAAGGGCCTGGGTCTTTCCCTCTAGGGCCAGACAGGCTGGGGGTGGGGGAGACTGCAGTCAGGAATGGTTCCCTCCTTCCCTGTGACTGTTGACAGAGGGAAGGAAAGGTCCTGTGTCTCTTCTGTGAGAGTCACGCCAGGGAAGGGGCTGGAGAAGGCAGTCAGGCACAGATACCTAGACCCTGGGATCAGAGCACCTCCAACTCTCTCCATCCTCCTCCATTACCCACTGGGCATGGGACCTCTCACAAGGCACATGACCCTATCCAGGCCTCAGGGTCTGGAGCATCTAGAAAAGCCACACTGACCAAAGAGAAGGTCGAGGAGAAGAAAGTCTACAGGAGACACTCACCAAATACCTGGACGTTGTAGAGTATGACCGCTGCCCCGGGCTCCCCGACCCCATTGTCAGCCATGCAGCGGTAAGTCCCCGAATCCTCCTCACTGGTGGCGTCAATGAGGAGATTGCTCAGCAGGAAGCGTGTCTTATTGTAGCCGGTGACACTGGACCCATCCTTGGCCCAGGTGACCCGCGGAGGTGGGATCCCGCTGGCCACACACTCCAGGATCAGACTCTGGCCTTTGGTGACAATGATCGTCTGGGCCTCCGGAGGGTAGATGATACGAGCAGCTTCAGCAGTGGAGCCTGGAGGGCCCAGGAAGTGAAGGGCAACGTGTGGGACCAGAACTCAGTGCAGGGGATCCCCTCCACCCCACCTTTGGGGGGTCCAGGCCCCAGGAAACAGTCCTCCGGGGATTTGGCTTCAGAGGCTTAAGACCTACATGAGGTGACTAAATTCCCGTGGGCTTGGTTTCCTTGTCAAAAACAAGGACCTCCCTCTGCAGAGAGCTGTTGTAAGAGATGAGGTAACACATTGGAATAGCAGCACTGACCCAACATATGTATGAATAACCTTGCATGTTGGCAAAGGAAAAGATGAGGCATACAGAGAATGTGCACCCCAAGTCTAAGGATGAGCTAGGAGACAAGGATCCGAGGTATCCCCCACACTCCACCCAGAGCTCTCGGTTCCCAGTGTCTGTTACAGAGCAAGCACCTCACTGAGCTGGGCGGGACCCACTGTTTAAAGAGGTGCGTTTCTTCCACAGTATTACAGGTCCTCAACGCAAATCAACTACTTTGTCAGCTGCTCAGCTAAGGAAGGTGTGGCCTTTTTTCAACGCTGGGGAAGAAACCGCACAGCACTTATTAGAAGGCTGGTTGCTCTCCAACGTGCCGCCTTCCTCCATGTTGACTGTGTGTGATTTTGCTTTAGGAGCTAACCAGGGGGAGAGCCAGCTTTTATATGACCTGAATGCTTGGGAGGCTTTAAGAAACAGAATGCAGGGGCGCCTCGGTGGCTCCGTCGGTTAAGCGTCCGACTTCGGCTCAGGTCATGATCTCACGGTTTGTGAGTTTGAGCCCCATGTTGGGCTCTGTGCTGACAGCTCAGAGACTGGAGCTCCTTCAGATTCTGTGTCTCCCTCTCTCTCTCTCTCTGCACCCCTTCCCTGCTCATGCTCAGTCTCTCTCTGTATCTCTCTCTCTCAAAAATAAATTTAAAAAACATTAAAAAAAAAACAGAATTCAAAATTACAGATACAGAATTCCACGAGGGAGGGACTGCTGAAGTTTGGCTTCCTTGGCTTCACAGTACACCTGTGTCTGGGGCTGACTCTAAGACCACACTCCACATGAGAGGTCCCTCCAGTGAATAGGCAGGAAGCCTGGAAAAGCGCCTGGCACACAGGAGATACTTGGCAAAGGTGCGTGTTGCTCTCAAATGACTGGGGGAGTGTGTGGGCCTCCATGGACCATCACCAGAGAGACGTGCCAGGCACACTTGAGCGAGCAGCAGGGTAGGCACAGCCCAGCCTTGTGCCAGGCAGGCCCTATGGCCTCAGATGGGCACAGGCAGGCCATTATCTCTCCTGTACACACGCTGTCAGCTGCTGAGCACTGTCCCAGCAGACACACCCTAACAGATCCCTGCTCAGAAAGTCCCACAGTGAAGGAAAGCTCTCAAAGGGCAGGAGGAAGGGACCAGCAAGCACAGCTACCCCCAGGGCAAGGCAAGGGCCTGCGGGAGGCTGTGAGCGGGCTGTGAGGGACCCCCGCTCCATCTGAGTCCTGGATGCTCCACTGGCCCGAGCCCCCCGGCTCCCATCCCCACTGCAGAAACCACAGACCTGGAGCACAGCCTGTGCCCACCCCGAATCAGCTCCCTCCTCAGCCCCACCAGCCTCTTCCATCAGTGAGACACCCCCTTGCTCCTTACGGCGCACGCGGAGCCTGTCACTGGAGCCCGAGGTTTTCACTTCCTGCGTCACCGGGTTGTAGGCAGCACACTTGTACGTTCCCTCATCCTCCCGGCTCGCGTTCACAATCTGGAGGTTTCCTGATGGCATGATCAGGTAATTATCTGAGGAAAGGGAACACAGGATGAGTCTGGGCCAGGAATACTGCAGCCAGTACCTCCCAGGGGGCAGGCAGGGCAGGAGCTGTACACTCGAATCCCCATAGGCCCAAATTGAAAATGCTATTCTCCCACTAAAACTTCAAGTCCAGTGCACCAGAAAGGCTGAGGAATAAACCTAACCAAGTAGCTGACAAACTGGCTAGCTGACTAGCTCCCCCGAGTTAGCACATAGGTCTCCAGAAGAACGCTTTATACGTTCAAGGGAGCTGGAGTAAGGTGTAAATTGAAACAAGATTTGGGGTCCGCCAGAACTGGGCTTGAGCTCTGGATCTGCCACGGACTGTGTGATTCTGGGCAAGCTGCTTAACCTCTCAGATCCTGTTTCCTCATTTGCAGAAGGTACGACACATGCCACCTCAGAGCCAGCTTAAGGACTGAGGGCCCAGGCTGTACACACAGGTGATGAGATGATCATTCCTGCAAGCCACCAGGAAGGAGGGAAATGCATGGGATTTCCCACCAGTCTCTGTCAAGGTCACGCTCTGAGCCACGTCACTACTGAATTTCTGCAACCAGGGAGGAATATTCTAACTCCCAACCACCACCTTCTCCATGCATGTCACTGAAACCCTTCCCTCTGTGACCCTGGTCTGCTAGACTTTGTCTGCTTCTGGTCCAGAGGTGCCATGGGGGTGCGGCTCCAGGGCCGTGCTCTGCATCTTTCAACAGAAGACAGAGTCATGGCTTCTGGACACCCCAGTGGCTGGGGATAGTGTTTGGTCGGCTTCCTGGCAGACAAAGCATTGGCCCTCAGCTCTGAGCTTTCTGGTGGTGTGGCCTGCCCTCGGGGTCCTGGTGTCTCTGAAATCTAGGTTCACTAAGCCTGGTATCTGCCTCACTGGACTGCCCCAGGTAAGAGCGGCTTAGGCAAATGCTTGACAGAGAAAACCCCTTGACCCTCCTATGACATGGGCAGGCTTCCTCCAGAGAGCTACTGCCACCATCTGCTGGGGACAAAGGAGAGTAATGCTTTATTCCCTGCACTCTCCAGTGATTTCTGAGTGGCAAGATCAGCGGTTTTACCCTTTCCAAAAATAGTTTTCTACATTTTCTGTAGTGAACATATATATATTCCTGACAGGAATAGAAGAACATATATTCCTTTCATAACCAGGAAAAATTTAGGAAAATGTATAAATATCTATAGGATATTTTAAAAGGTATACATTTTGAGCTGTGGGTTCAGTCACATAGGGTCTAGTTAGCCTTGAGTGGACAGTCAACAATGGGAAGTAGCTGACTTCATCTTGGGAGATATCTCTGCTCCTCATGGGCACTCTGGGGACCAAGGCTTGGCCTCCCCTGGACCGGCTGTCATGTACCCCGTGGCCTGAGCAGGAGCTAGGACAGCTGAGACAGCCCCATCACTGGGAAGATGGGGAGAGGGAAAAATCCACGTCCCACTAAAGAGAGTCCTCTGCTGTGTGTGGGGGGAGCTCCACTGCCCCCCAGGGAACACTGCAGCTCCACCAATGGCTGGGTTCCTCAGGCGGCCTCTCTCTGTACGCCCCAGGGGCAGGGAACACCGTGCTGATGTCTTATACAAATTTTGGAAGCTCAGCAACATCTTCCAGAGCCTCCAAGGATGAACAGATTCCTCTCAACAGGGCAGACCTCCATTACAGAAGCTGATCCCTTTAGGATCTTCCAGGACTAAGTAGCAAGGTAGAAGACTGGACCGGCATGAGGAAGGGGCTGCTGGCATGTGGATGGGGATTCAGGAGGCCATAGTCAGAGGTGGTCAGATTCCCTCGTGGCCTTGGCCTCTGGGCTCCTGCCTGCTCACTCACCTCGAGATGCCTCCAGCCACTCTTGCTTGACACTGTATCGGACCTGGGCTTTTGGGTGGCTCTCAGGAAGGTGGCAGGCAATGACTGCTGTGTTCCCCTCATCTACTTCGATCACATGCTGCACGTCCAACTTGAAGTCCTGGAGATCTGTGGGCAGAAGGAAAGGTGCCAATGGGGCCTTGATGGAGGACAGAAACAAAGCGACATTTCAGTGTGGCTGATGCCTTGGGGTCTTCAGTCACAAGAAAACAGCTGCAGGAGCCTCACCCACTGGGGGCTTCCTGGGGGGTGGTCTGAGTCCTTCCTCCAGCCTTCTGTTGTAAGAGTTTAGAGGATGGAATGTGTGGCCTCTATCACTACATGGGAGTTCAGCTTGGTATATAGAAGCTGGAGGGTGGGGACATATGTACAGGATTCCATCAGGAGGTGCCTGTGACACAGACCAGCCTCTTCTGCTACACTGAGACATGGGGGTGGGTTGGCCAAGCCCATTGGCCCTACTGAACCTGGCTGGAGATGGGTCATGATCAAGGCATAAGTGCCCTGGCACAGCTCAGCAAATGGAGACTGATGGGAATGATAAAAGAGAATTGTGATATCTTTTTTCCAGTTAGGTTCCCTCGTTCTTCTTTGTCATCCACAGTAAAAGTGACAGGCCGGAGATTATGCTCAGTTACTAAGCGTGGCTATTAACAGGAAGACTGATGCTACCCGGAGCTATACTCCACGCCATGGCTGATCCTTCCTCAGGGCTGCGGGGCATTGGTAAGTGCTCTAAGGGCTTCCTAAGCCTCCCCAGTGTGGCTGACGGCAGTGGAATGATGGAGCTGAGGGTCCTGATGCCAGGAGCAGTGTCTGGTGCATGGTGCATGGTGGCTTTCTCTTCTGACTTGGCTTGGTGGGAAGACCGGGATCTAAACTGGGAGAGGATGGATCTCCATCTGGAACAAGAGCAGGATGTTTCCTCAACAATCTAACAGTCCAAACAACAAAATTCTCTCTGTGTGAGCCGAATCACTGAAGCGGTTGAACAAAATGGGATACTTGTGCAACAAGCCACATGCCAAATTTATTGTTTCAGGACTGCAGCTGACTTGAAGAGAAGAAATAAAATAAGAGGGTTGTAAGATAAGAAAGAGGAGAGTACTGACCCAAATACTCCTTTGTAGAGGTGCTTAGAGAGTGCCTCTGGAGGCACTCCCCCCCACCCCGCCGAGTGCTGACCGCACCAAATTCTGTGCGCTCCTGAGAGCGGCCACCAGCAGAGCTCTCACTGCAGCTCTGCTGTAAGACTCTACCTGCCGGTGTTGTTTTCCCTGGAGACCCAGAGAAGGCAAGAAGGTGGCGGGAGCAGGCAGGAATCAGGTTTCTCACGGAAAAGGCAGTTAGCTACCAAAAACAAACTACTGTCACCACAGGACAGCACAGTAATCAAGGCACATAGTGAGGTCAGAAGGTTTCCCACTTGATGGAACTGTCCAGAAGCTCTCAGACAAGCTATGCCAGGACAGGAAAGCCCTTTTGTTTCTATGAGAGGATCACCGTCCCTCTGATTATGATATTAGGACTTTGCAGGGGCAGGGACCAAGTCTAAAGCTAACGCAGGGCCTGGCTCCAGTACGTTTCACTAAATGTTGAGTGACCAAATGAAGGACCATCTCGGAAATTGGGATCTTCATATCAGGCACCAGATGCCCATTTATGTCGCCTATGAACTCACATTTCCTACTTGTGTTTCATCTATACTATAAGCTCAAGGACAAAGTCCTAGCACAACAAATTTTCTATAAATCTTTTCTCCAGTTATGGCCAACCTTTTATCTAAGTATGGCTGTTTTTAAACTAGAATGTTTCTTAAGAGGCCACTTCCGGAGTCACAGAAAAGATGTGACATAGGTCTCACGAATGTGGAGTAGGAAATACATGCCGTGCACAAGTGGGTGGCAAAAGCAAAGGCAGACTGCCTGATTCATTTCTACTGCCTCCTTTTATTTTCTAGGGTGAACAAGTGAGGCCCATGGGTCAAGGGTGAGATCTCACTCGAAGATTTCTTCGGGTGGGTACAGAGCCTTTGGGACTTTTAAAGAATTCTCTCATCATCATTTTATATGTGTGATATCGGACTCTAGCTAAATTTGAAATTCCCAAGGGGCAGCCTATTAATTTTGCACTCCATGCCCCAACCCCAAGCCCCACGGCACAGTAGGCAGGAGACAGCAAATTCTCTCTAAATCCTTGTTAAATGAACGAGCAATTTGGAAGGTTGAGCCCAAGGTCGGCTTCATGGGCCTGCCATCTGTATAGCTGCACGTGGCTCGGTGCCTAGAAGGGGCCAGCACGTGGTTCAGCGCTCTGCCATCACCGTCTTCAAATTCTTACTGTCTGAACAAAAGACCCCACATTTTAATTTTGCATTAGGCCCCAAAAACTATGTAGCCCAGTCCTGGCTGAGCTGCTCAGCCCAAAGGGCGGATGTGTTTTTTTCTCAGAGGGGAAGGAGATACAGACTGCGGGAGATGGTGGATGGCGTGGGTGCAGCGTGTTCTGGTTAAATATCACTAACTGCCTTTCAAAAGCAATGCATGTAAACAATGCGAAGGCCTTAATCCCCCTCGGCACGGTGCGTGCCGTACCTGCCAAGTCAGGAGGATCTCCACAAAGAGAGCTATGAGCGACTGTCAGCCCAGGGGCGTCCGGAAAATTCCTGTCATCAAGAAGCACTCTTTTCCACGGTCCAGTAAATCATTTTCAAACTGCTCCACCAAGAGATTGAGTTTTTTCCTCCTCCTCCTCCTCCTCTTCATTTCATTCCAAGGAAATTTGCCTCAAGCAAGAATATACTTAAACTTAACAGATCATTTTATAAGAAAGGAGTTTGGCACCAGAATGCCATCTCCATGTTAATGGGCCAGGCTCTTGCCATTGTAACTGAAAGCTTATCCAGGCACAACTCACGTCCTCCTCTGTGTACCCACCTCACCGACCGGATACGAGAAAACATACAGCATACCCCCCACCCCCAGTCTCTCTTGGCTCCTTCTGCAGCCTCTGACAATTGCTAAGTTGGAGACAGAAGGCTGTGCAGTGGGGAAGGCACAAAGCTGGGCACCGGTCAGCCATGTGGCCAGACAGCCCCTCTGTTCTGATGCCGACGTGTGCGCAACAGCCCATGTGGGTGGGACTAAGGACACCCCAGCTGGGCATCCAGCTCCCCACAAGGGCCTACTGGCAGGCCAGCCTTCCTGGCTTCCAAACAAATAAGGAGTAGTTCGGTCCCTGGCCCTGTCCCCTCCTTGTTCCTCCTAAGCTTAAGCCTTAGCTGCTGCTTCACTAGACAAACACATCCAACTTGGCTGCTGGAGCAAACGTTGAGGTTCACTAAGGGATCAAAGGCAGAGTAACAAAGTGATGACGGATGTGAAAATCAGAGCACCCTTCTCTAGTGTTTTTAGGCAGGAAGGAGACTGGGGGTAGGGGTGGGGGTGGTGTAGAGACATCGTGATCAGTAATGGCCTAATCAGCCACCAGATGAGGCAGATGCAGAGATCTGGTTGGCCGCAAATGAAGGAAACCAGCCTGTTCCCAGGCTCCTTTGTCTGCGAAGCCGGTTTCCTGGCCAGTCCCCGGGGCTGCTCAGGGCGCCTCACTGGGACTGGGGGCAGGCCCTTCAATTTCAAATGGGGTTAACAGGCCGCACTGCAGAATGATGGATCGGGTTTCTTGGGGAAATGGTTTGACAGGACACCTGCCCTTGCCTGTTGGCTGGTGTGTTTGAGAAATCCATTAGGGGAATGTTTTTGCAGCTTTAATCCTCTTACCTTCCCCCAGACCCCTCTTGTGCATCCTCTCTTTGTGTATTCTTTCAGCTATTTTATTAACTTGTCTGCACTAATCAAATGCCAATAAGCCCACTCTTGTTCCTCAGCTCTCAACAGGTCAGAAGCCCAGGACTTTGGGACCATCTCTGGATGTCCTTCTCACAGAATTTAGTGCTTTCTAAGAAAGCCCATGATAGTTTAGGCTCCATACAGAACCCTGCCTAGTTCTTGCTCTCTAAGCCCTCAGTTTCTTAATGGAAGACAGATCTTCTGATCCGTTACTTCCATAGGACTCTTAGATACACAGATTATAGGGCTTTGTTCAGACACAAGCCATGTGAAAGGTTCAGTGTTTCCTCTTCCCATTTACAGGGCACATCGGGCACTTACCTTCTGAGCCAAGGGAAAATGGGGAGGAATACAAGAACTTTTGGAAGCATGTGGTGTGGCTGCCATCACCAGGGTCACATGTGAGACTACAAATAGATGGGCTTAACATAAAACCTATTTGAATTTCTTATCACCTTCTAGCCTGGACCCTTCCTTTGGCTCTGCAGAGCTATGAACTAAAATTTAACAATATTTAGTGTACGTGAATTCCCAGGACACAAAGCTGTCACATCTTAATTGGAGGCTCATTGCCCCAATTTTTATACAGTTTACACATCCAGTTATGGGATGCACTGCATCACAGCAGAGCACCTCAGGTGTACTCCTAAGGCTTTTCAAGGCATTGCCTCATCTGGGCCTCCTCTCCCAGAGATCTCTCTTAGGCTGCAAGTCACGGTTAAGTAAGAAGTCAGGTAGACAGTGCCTTTGTCTGGGGGCTGCATGGGGTCAACATCCCCGTCTCCATGAACTCGGCTAAATATTTATTTTAAAAAAGTCATTTTCTATCCATCCAGGCATCTTATGTATAGTCAGCCCTGTCCTATCCCCCTGCGTAGGGACAAGCATGTACTTGACTGCTCAGGTTTGGATGGGATCCACCAGATTGTGGCGGGGGGCGGGGGGGGGAGGTGCGTATTGCGCTCACTTGGCAATGCTGGCAGGACAGCTCAGTAGCCTCTTGGCCAATGGCAAGTTTCTGGGCTGATCATTCTACTATCTAACTCTCGCAGCCTCCAGGCCTCAACTGTCCCTGTGGTGGCCTATTGTGCCTATGGCTGATGTTACAAAGCACAGAAAGACTTTGCCCTAATACGGCACTCCTCAGGGATATGCTCACTGTGTGGCCCTTCCCTGCACCTTGACTGGTTTTTGAAAGCTGGCCAAGTTTCAAGGGAAATAAAATGAAGACCTTTCTCTGGCAGAAGCTGTGGCTCACCG